ATCCCATGACCCCTAGAGGAGAAGCAGGCAATCTTTCTTTCCTTTTCCCTCTTGCTAAAAAGTCACTCCCTGGCAGGCTGTCTGTCCCTGGTCCTTGCATACAGCTGGTAGAATGGGCCAAATAATAGGTAATGAAACAAGCCTTTTCTCTGGGTTACAGGCCATGGTAAGATTACAGGAAGATTACAGAGACCCAATGCTGGGTCTCTAGGGAGTCAGACATTGCAGAATGTCCCCAGTAGTTTCCTGGAAGGGAGCCATTTCTTAGTCCAGTTTGTATCTACCAGCATTAGTTTGCACAAATACTGTATTTCCCTTAGCTGTGCCCTGATATTCTTCAGGTGTTCTTTGTAGTTAATATTTGCTTTCCACCAAATGTTTGCAAAATGGAAATATTTGCTTTCCATGGAGCGATGAGGCCATTGCTTAGGCACCATAAGATCCAAACCTATAGCTGCAAATAATTCCATATAAGGATAAATATCAGCCCACAGACTAAAATTCTTATTATTTAAACTAATCTATTTTGAACTCAGGGCCTTGTGCATTTGAAGCAAGCACTCTACCAACTGAGCTATATCCCCAGCCCTAAACTAATCTAATTTTGCACTCAAAATTCCCACTGAATTGTTGATGTAAGAGATCATACATAAACCTTATTCAAAATACTGTATTACTGTTTCTTCCTCTACCATATTCCTTTTGTCCCCCTTCAAAAATGTTAGCACCTGAAGAATTGATAACCAGATCTTAAAGCCCAGTTACTTTGTGAAGAAGTTCAGGCTGTGAGAGCAGTGGTGTAAGTCAGCACAAAGGGTGAAAGTGTTGGTGATCCCACCAGAACTCACCTCCTCAATGGCTCTCATCACAAGGTGCTACCATAGGGTACATCCTTCCTGCTTTTCTACAGAGTAGAATAGTAGAAAGCACTATCCCGGAAACTAGAACACCCTATTCCCTCTGCACCAGCCTCTTTGGGCCTCAGTTGTGCCATTTACAAATTGAGGGAATAACACTCTTTGAAAACACTTACCACTCATGGAGATTTGACAAGAGCTTTGAGTCTATCATCATAAGGGTCCCCTCCACAAAAATGAATGTTTCTTTTGGAACTGAGGGATTTCCCCAATACAGAGGCCACTTTACCCTCTCTGCTGCCCTTCATGATGTTGGGTTCATGAGGGGCAGAGGAGCCCAGTTCTCTATCTGAAGTGGACAGGGGAATATGTCATGCAAGTCAGGAGTTAGACTCTTCCATAAGAATAGCAGGTATAGTTATTTCTCCACAGCCCCCATGCATTCACACACAGTACACAGTCTCTGCTCAGCACCTCGCGGCCAGCTTGTCAGGCAGGTCCTCTCCCTGGAGAGATGCAGTTCTGCAGTGAAATCTGAACACATTCCAACAACATGTGTTTATCTCCAGGGTCAGCCTTTCCTGTTGATGCTCAGGAGGCATGGGGGAGGGAAAACGGGATGGGGAATAATGGTTGTTGACAGCCACAGGGGGTGAAAGGTTAATGGGGTGTGGGGACCCTACCCTTGGGAGAGTTCTCTTACATTGAGGTTTCCAGACTGTGTGGTCACATTTTCTTTCCTTGTATAGGGATGAGCTCCCAGGTCTTTTGTTGCCAGTGGAGATGAGAAGTTGGGACACTACGCGTCATCCAAGGGTGTGTCTTCCAGAGCTGGCCAAAACTTGGTGTGTGGGAACCTTCAGGTGGGGGCCATTCTCCTGGAAGCAGGAGAATGGCAGTGTTTCCAATGTTTGGTTCAGGATCTAAGCTCTGTTGGGACACACCTGGTTCTGCCTCTCCCTTTGAGCTCATGCATAGGTGCCAGGACCTTCAGGCTCTGGCAGTCCAACAGAGGGGACCACCCTTCCTGACTAAGCTGAGCATAAATCCCAAGTGTTTGACATTTACTTGGATACAGTTCCAAGAGCTGTACCCCTTAGGAAAAATACCCACTACCCAGGTTTTAAATTTTTTTATTTAAATTTTTGGCACTGGGGATTGAACTGAGGGGCACTGAGCTACATCCCCAGCCCCTCCCCCTTTTTTTTAAATTTTGAGACCATCTAAATTGCTAAGGTTGGCCTCAGAACTTGTGATCCTCCCATCTCAGCTTCCTGAGTCACTGGATTATAGGTATGCACCACCATGCCCAACTCCACTATCCATTTGTCTCCACTAGCTGGGGACAAATGCCCAGGTACATTATGAAGGATCCAGTCTAGCTCTGGATGACTTTGAGAAAGTATGCTCACAATCAATCTCAAAACCTCTAATTTATTATTTATTTTCAAATTAGATAATCCATTCTCCCTCCAGGCTGAGTTTCAGGGGGTGGGAGTGTGGAGGCTGAGCCATCACATTCCTTTTCAGCAAAAATGAATCACGTACCCCAACCCCCATCCCCAACCCAGGAATATTTACCCATGTTTATATAACCATGGCAACAGTCTTCATTCTCTATTACTTAAACCCTTTTTTTAAAAAGAAAAAAAAAAGAAACAGTGAAAGGCAGCTCTTTTTCCTACTTTGCCATATGTTCTGCCAAAGAAGAACTACCTCTTTAGAAACAAGGTGAGAGGGAGAGACCCTCATACACCCCTAGGGTAATATTGGCCTTCTTAGGGATTGCAATGACCCAGCATCATGAAAGGACTTGAGAGTCAACAGACATTGTCTTCCAAAGTCCTGTGGGAACTATACAGCAATATAAGTATCTCTGACTTGTCTGGGACCTCTCTTTTAAGCTCTATACTGAGATAGGTTATCAATTATTTTTCTTTCCAACTTCTTTACCTTCTTTACGCTGGGACGTGGGCTGCCTTTGCTAACAATATAGTCTTCTTCTGTATCATGGGCTAATCATCCCTCTTGTCCTGACAGATGGTTGTCAGAAGAGAGTTTTGTAAGGAGTATGAAGTATTAGATTTACATAGGTTTAAATTATAAGTGAAGGAAACTGAGGCCCTCAAAAAAGGACAGACTGGGCACAAGGCACTGTGTTGTCAAACTATAGAAGATCTAACTACCCAGTTTTAGGTTCTTTCCAAGAGATCAGCCTGCTTCTCTTGGGGTTTTAACTACAACCAGTTTCCTAACTTCTAAAAGGATTCAGGCCCAAATGGTTTCAAGTATGGAGAAAACCAGAGCTAACTTGACTCTAAAGACCATTTCAGTGACAGGCCCACAGACAAGTAAATGTCTATGCTGGAGGCTGGAGATCAAAGTGAGCAAAGCAAGGCCCTGCAGATTGGGGAACCCTTTTGAGTAAGGGTCCCTGCATGGATTAGATTTCAACTACAAAAGTTCTCCTTTCTATTCCAGAGTATTAAATTCCAGAATTTGTGCCATTGGACCAGAAACCATAGCTGTGTCCCTGGAAATGACCCACTCTGAACACCCTGTGGATCACACGGAAAGTGATCCCTTGGAAAATTTTTGCTCACAACTACAAGGAAGTCCAAGGGCCTAGGGCCGATGCTGCTCTGCCTTCTGTGGCAGATTCAAGACCTGACCGGAGAGAAAGGAAAGTGATTTTAGGCTCCTCCAGCGGGCACTGGAAATGCCCAATCAGATTTGCAATTCCATTCTGCTGCCTTCTCGTTTTTTCTGAAAGCCAGCTTCCAGAGCAGTAACAGCGAAGAGAGTGCGCAGAGCGCGGGCGCTTGGGTTCCAGAGACGCAGGTTTTGGACCTGGTTTGCCCCGCTTGCTCTGTTTTTCTCCACCTTTTTTCAATTGTTAGCAGAAGTGACACAGAGGCAAATGACCTGCAGCGCCAGAGTTCTCTCTTCACGCCTTCCCTCGCTCCCTCGCGTACTTAACGCTTCTGTCCCGTGCGGAGTCCAAATATCCTGCCAGAGGCAAACTTCCCTTGTTAATTATTTCGAAGCAATAGGCCGCTAATTGTCTTAATTACTCTCAGGCTCTGTACACCGTGCCGGTGGGCCCGGAGGGTTTTTGCGGTGCCTCGGTACGGGAATAATGTCAGCCCTGGCGGGTGCTAGGGTCTACGTGGAGAGTCTCGGGTTCCGCTGGGAGGAGCGCCCTGTCACCCCTCTGGAGCCGGTCCGCGTCAACTCCACACCCGAGGGTCAGGTTGGACTTCGCACACCTCAGGTGCCCAGGGGCCTGTCGACTAGAATTGGAGCGTCTTCGAATTTCTCCTCTCTTCCCCAACCTTACAAAGGCCGTCACTCGGGGAAGGCCTGTTTCCCTATCCACCTTATTGAAAGCAGACCCCGTAGACCCGGATGCGGTGGCTCATGTCAACTCCAGTACCTCCACCTGAGTCGGGTCCCAGTTCCACTATCCCCGTTTTTATGTTTTCATTAAAAATCACTTTCTGAAGTTAACACATTTAATTTTTTTTCTTTTTACCCGTTATCTTCCCTTCTCCCTCCGTCCTCCATTATAAGTTCTTAAAAGCAGAGACTTAGCCTGTCTTATTCAGTATCCCGAGACCTACAACCTTGCCGGGAGCACAGCGGTGGCCAGTCGGCTCTGCAGGTGAGGAGTGGGCTGAGCGGACCCTATACTAGGAGAGACAAAAGTGGAGCCATACTCTCAGGGTCCTCTTCGGAAAGAAAAGAGATTCTGAGGGATGTCTGGGAGAGGTTGGGGTGTTTTTCTCCGATTGGAATTTGGATAAGGTTACCTCACTGTGGCACTTTTGTCCCTTACTGAGACAGCTACTCAATTCCCCACCCATAAAACTGCGCACTCCCTTTATAACCGAATAGGGCGTCGCGTGTTTTGTTGGGGACGTTGGCACAGCCTGGGGTTACGATGTCTCCTGCCACGATGGCCAGGACCAGGTGACACCCACCTGTACCCACTGACCCCGGCACACATTAGGGGTTCAGCTCTTGCGCTGCGGCCTAGCCCGCGCCTCACCCCACCACCCTGGGGGCCGCTCTTCTCATTGGCCGAAGACATTCCCCCTGAGTTCTCATTGGCTGCCGCACTTTTCCCTCCTCCCCGAGCCCCGGCCGCGCGCAGCGAGCAGCTGGGTAAGCTGCTCCAAGTCCCAGCGTTGGAGGAGAGGATCTGCTCCCCATTGCAAGAGGCGCGGAGCTCAGGGGCGAAGAAACGCCGAGCGCGCAGTTTTCACTGGGGTCGGTGTTCCTGCTTGGGAACTCTCGTAGAGTCTTGCCGGCAAATGGGCGCTTAAGGAAGGAGAGCGGGGAAATGGACTGCTATTTGCGTCGCCTCAAACAGGAGCTGGTAAGAGCGCGAGCTGTCGCTGGGGGCAAGGAGGGCTTCTCCGCTCTGATGGGTACCTGGCCCTTGCCTGGGTCCGGGGAGTCAGGACGTGCCCAGGCGCGTGCCAGGGCAATCAAGGCCAGACAGGAGATGAGGGGTCGAGGACTGGCAGGCAGAAGGTAGGGCCTGTCTTCAGAGGAAAGGGCCACAAGAAAACTTATGGGAAAGATTTGCGATGAGACAAGAAGTGACTGAGAGCAACCGACCAGGTTAAAATGTGACATGGGGAGAAAAAACAAGGGAGAAAAGCGGATACTGCTAGTTGGGCAGACGGAGTGAGTGAGGCTCTGGCGCCGCCGACCCCGAAGGCGCGGGAGCGACAGGCCCAGGCAGCTGGACGCCAGCGCCTAGGTGCTAGGGCTGCGCTGTGCCTGGAGCACTCGGACAGGCGGGGACGGGAGGGTGCGCCAGCCGGATCCCCGCCCCGGGTAGGAGGTCACCTGGGACCGGGGAGCTGACGCCGCCCCGGGCCCCTAACTCTGCCTGGCTTGGCAGAGCTGGCGCGGCTGCGGGGGTAGGCTTGGCCGGCTGTCTGCCTGGGCTTGTCTGCCAGCAGGGAGGGGGCTGGCAGCTGTAATGATGGGGGAGGGCCTGCAAGGGAGGAGGGGCGCCGCCTGGCAGATAGCGAGCGGGAGTTGCCCGGGCCCCGCCAGATGTCAGGTCTGGGCTTGGGGAGTGTGCAGGGAGCGTGCGGAGACTCGGGGTGCTGGGGCTGGGAGAAGTAGCTTAGTCTGGAGGGGCGGGGGTGAATCACCCAACTAGGGGCGTTGATTGCTAAAGCTATGTTAGGGAGGCCAGGTTGATTCTCAGTGACTTCACCTACCACCCACTCCCACCCCCTCCGCCACACATACCTTCTACTTTTATTATTCCTTCAACCACCAGAATTCAGGCATTTACACCCAGAATGCCCTGCCCTTCACTTCTTCTAGCAGGCTCCCTGTGGTGTCTTTGCTTGGACCTCTGTGTGTCTCTTTTAGTCTGTCTCTTTTGGTGTTGACTCTTTTGTCTTATTTTGCTCCCCTCCTCTTCTTACTGTTCAGAGCCAGGGGCACCCAGGTGCACAATGGCAGACCTGTATCCAAAAAATGCCAGCTTATGGCTCTCCAGATTTCCTGACAACCTTCCCACTTCTGCCTACAAAGGGCTAAGTCTTCCTGCTTGGGAGGGAACTTGGCAGTGTATTAAGAACAGCCTTGGTGGTGGTGGTGGCAGCGATGGTTTGGGGGGGGGGAGTGTCAGGGGAATTGAACTTGAAGGAGCAGGTGTTCTCATTGATACTTCCTGACCAAGTTGCCCTGACACTCTTTCTGCCTGCCTTCTCAGATTGATGATCTTTTTTTGTGCTGACACTCAGATGTGAAAGTTACTAGCCCAGAGGAGAGTATTCATTCTGATCTTGTGAACCTATAGTAGTTCCCTCAATAGTTTAATGCACATTACTACCAGTTTAGGAGGGTGGTCCCAGCCCACACATACACAATTCTCATATTCCCTATTCATATGTCCAGAACCAGAAAGGGAGGTCAAGATCATCACAGATAATGTCTGAGGTCCAAGGCCCATGCCAAGAAAAGAATCTAATAGAATCCTCTTTGTGCTTGGAATCAGAGACTATACCACCCACACCAGGATCTGCCTTAATGGAGGGTTTGTGGGTGTTCCTGGCATGGGCTTGAATTTTAAAATCCTACTGATTTGCATATTTTCCAGCACCCTAGGTGGGAGGTGGTGAGGGGAGGAAGACAGTCTGTGGATGCCAGGAGAATTAAAAAAAAAAAAAAGACTCTGAACTGAGCCGAACTCCAGATCTTGATTTGCACCCTCTCCTGCCAAGGCCTTGAGCCCCCAGCGCCTGGGAGAAGGAAGGGGAGAGGCTGAAGTCACCCAGCTCCCCATCAGCTTTTATTTGGCCCTTTGTCTGAGCAGCTCCAGCCTTTGACTCTCTTGGAAAGGAAGCCAAATTCCTGGCCTGGGGCCCAGAATGACACTCAGATGGGAGAGCTCTGCACCCCACCCCCCATGGTGCTCCACCCCTCCCTGATGCCAGCCTGCTTGTAAAGGAGACAGAGTGACAAGGCACAGATACTTGAGTCTCACTCCCTGACATCTCAGTTTAAGTAGCAAGGGTCAAATCTTAGTGCCTCAGTATCACCAATGGGAAAAACTGGGAGCTGAGTTAGTCCAAGGTCAGCCCTTTGGCTGCCTTCTTCTAAGGTCTGGAGGGACTGATTCCATGCAGCTTGACTGTGGCTAGGTTAGGGACTTATTGGCTGCAATGGGGTGGGAAATGCATAAGTTGACTTACATCACAAGCTGGAAACTTTTGCCCTGCAGATGGGTCACCCAAGGGAGGCTCTCCCTTGCCTCCCAGGAGGACTGTGTATTGCCTGGATCTCCCCAGTTGGTTTGTGACCAGGAATGTCCTCTTGCAGTAAAACTGTTCAACTTCCACATTCATTTATTTCACTAATTATTTCACTCCAAGATCATAAGTCCTGGAGACACTGTGGGATAAACCTGCTGCAAAAAGAAACATTAACCGGGCATGACATTATCTTTTTCTAGTAGATTCTGTGCTCCCCTCCTACATCTTGGCCCTATCTTTGCCCCAGAAAATCTAGATAATACAATCTAGATTTTCAGTAGCACAAATTTCCAATTCACTGAAGCAGAAAATTTGCATTGTAACAAGTGAGCACTGGGGGTGGGGGGCTGAGAATTCAGGGATCCTGGCTCAATTAAGTTGATGGCTAGAGAACTGGCCCTTCCTCCCTGCCTGGAAGGGGGGGGGGTCAAGTTTCAGGGATGAAATGTGCCTGGAGAAGTAGTAGCAGCTGACACACTTCTTCATTAAGATGAAGGAATTGGGGCTGCAAAGACCCAGCAGGGAGCACATCTCTTCCCCCTTCCAGCCGCCAAAGAGGGGCCCTGCCTGAGCACAAGGCCTTGGGACCAGCTGTTCCTTACACATAGCTCCCAGTGGACTTCCAACAAATGGGGGAGATGCAGACACACAGAGGAAGCAAATGTAAGCTGCTCACAGGGCATTCCTGTGAGTTCATATCAATGTGGAACAAACAGAATGCATAAAGGCTGAATGATCAGGCCAGGCTGGGAAAGGCTACCCAGAGGAGGGGGAGGTTGGAGGAGGCCATCTTCTGGAATGTCCATCCTGGTTGAGACATGGGGAAGCAGCAGAGGGACTTCTTTCAGGTGAGAAAGTCCTCCTAGGGCACCCTCCTTTCCCCAGAAGGCAATTCTTTAGTCGCTAGTGGCTACAAGCTCAGAAGTTTCTGGTGTAAGGCTAAGGACCAGGACCTAAAGGCAATATGAGGAGAAAAGAAGGGAAGGGAGGAGTTACAGTAGGAGAAGCTTTCAGTTTTTGGAACAAAAGAGCAAATTTCCCGAAGTTGTTGGAAAAGGATCGCATTTTGCAGTGTGCTTGATCTTTAAAGATAGGGATAAGAGGACTTTTGGACCAGTTAGACTGGGGTTAGTTGGAAGAATATGGAGCATAGGATTTGGAGTCAGGCCAACTTGAACTCAAATCCTGACTCTGTGTGACCATGGAACATTACTTAACTCTCTGAACTTTAGTCTTCTTATCTTTAAAATGGGCTTTTAAAAATACCTACCTTGGGCTGGGGTTTTGGCTGAGTGGTAAAGTACTTGCCTGGCATGTGTGAGGCCCTGGGTTTGATCCTCAGCACTGCATATAAATAGATAGATAGATAGATAGATAGATAGATAGATAGACAGATAGATAAGCAAGCAAACAAACAAATAAAATAAAGGTCCATTGACAATTTAAAAAAAAGATTAAAAAAAAACTACCTTGTACAGCTACTATGAAGATTAAATAGCAGTATAAGTAAAGTACTTCCCCAGCTGTATGCCCTCAGCACATAGCACAGAACCCTATGTGTTGCAGGCACTTGGTAAACTCTTGATGTTGGGTTGATCAGACTGGTTTGAGTTAGAGACATTCACAGAACATTTTTATTGAGCTTGTATACATTTCAGGCACTAACAAGGCACTAATGTTATGATTACAAATATAAACAGATCCTGTCTTCAGACAACCTGCAATTTAATAGAAAAGATAATACCATATGCTGATGTTAACCTGGATATACCAGGCATATCATGTGTTGTTATTTAATTGCTAAAGCTGTATATTCATTATTCCTATTTTTAAAATGAGAAAATAGACATGAGGAGGCTAAGTGACTTGTCCAGAGCTGATAAGTATTGCAGTTGGATTCATACCTGGTCGGGCTGACTGCAGAGCTTACATTCCTAGCCCACAACACATATATGCACATCTCTAGTGCAGGTACAGGAGGGTCCATGCCATTTAAGGGGCACTGTGCTCTAAGAAGGGAGAAGTGACCTCCAACTGAGAGATCAGGGACAGTTTCCTGTCATGGGAGAGGCAGCATGTGAGCCACACTTGGAGGGATGGATAGAGATGGGCACAGGAGAAATACAACATTCCAGGCAGACAGTGAGACAGACAGAAGGTGCAGAGGCAGAAGTAGCGTGGATGTGCCAGCTTGGCTGGAACAAGAGGCGCGTGCAAAGAAGGAGTAGGCAACAGGATTGAAAGAAACTTGACCGTTATGCTATGGAGTCTGACCTTTTCTATGTGCACTGGAGGTTGGCATGGCCAGAGATATGTCCTAGGACCTAGAGGTGGTATGGAGTAGAGGGTAGGGAGGGCAGAAAATGAGGCAGGAGGGTGAATGAGGATGTTAATATAAGAGTCCAGGCAAGCGGGCGCGATGGCAGGCACCTGTAATCCCAGTGACTTGGGAGGCTGAGGCAGGAGGAGTGCAAGTTCAAAGCCAGCCTCAGGAAGTTAGCAAGGTCCTGTCTTTAAATATAACATAAAAAATGACTGGGGATATGTCTCAGTGGTTAAGCATCTCAAAACAAAACAAAAGCCCTGGGTATGAAGGCCTGAAATAGGAAGGAGGAAATCTCACAGGCTGCAGGGGAGAGGAGCTAAGCTGGTCAGAGGGAGAAGGCTTGCTGAGACTGAGAGGCAAGCCCTGGAGGAGGCAACTTGGGCCCTTCTCTCCATCTGTCTGCCTCTTGCCTGAGCATGTGACTCCCAGGAGATGGTTCAGTTGGGAAAGAGGGCTCATCATTTCACATCCCTCACTTCCTCCTTTCTTTACTCTCCTCCCTCCTGCAGCTCTTGGCACAGTTTCCATGTTACCTTCCTGTTGAGAGTCCCAGCCAAGAGCCAAGAAGGTCCCTATTCACTGAGCTGGAGAATGGGCCACTTGGCAAAAATGGGGCTTTTCCCATTTCCGGCCCTGAGCCTCCTCCTAGCTTCCCCAGTGGCTGAAAGGATCTGTGTGGGGATCTTGTGAGTAATGGGGGTGGGGAAGTGAGGCAGGGCATACTGCCAGGTTCATGGGCAAAGCCGAGCCTGTGTCAAAGGATTCCGGCTGAGCTGGGAGAGGGCGTGAGATGGATGGATGGAGGGCACAGCTGCAGGATCAGTCAGGGGCCCAGGGCAGGGTCTGGGAAGGGAGCCGAGGATGCTGGCATCTCTTCTTCCATCCCCACTCCTCCCACACCACAAAGCACCCAGAGAGTGCCAAGAGGGAGGGTGCTGTCTACCGACAGCTGACCCTAGACTCCCGCTCTGGGCTCAGGATGGTGGGATCTGGCTTCTTAAAATGGCATCTTCTCCTTCAGCCCCAGGCAGGCAGTTCCTCTTTCCTCTTTGGGTGACCCAAGGAAGAGGAGCCTTCAGTGGGAAGGAAGTGAACTGGTGCCGCAGTCTGGCTGGGCACAACTAACCGAGCCGCCACGAAGCACTTGTAGGTTCAAAACAGCAACTCTTTATTGCCGAACTCCACCAGCACTCCACACACGCTCCCCAGGAACGATCTCACCCTTTCCACCTCTCACCCCTTCCACCAGGCTCAGCTTGCACACTCCCTGGGAACCCAGGAGAACTCCAGGGGAACTCCAAAGTAGCCCAAGGCAGCAAGAGCTGCCCTATTGCCGGACAGTAAAGGTCAAATATACAATTGAATACACAGCTTAACATAACCATCATCATCTCAGTGGCTCGCTGGTGTCACCTCTCATCATCCTGACTCAGCTGTGGCCCTCAACAAACTGGGTCTTGGAGTACCTCGGGGGATGGTTTCATGCTCTTCTTCCTCCTCTGGAGGCAACTGTCCTTTGCGCTTCCTGCAGACTAGCCTGGGTTCTTCTCACACGTATTCCGTGAGGCCCACTGGACAGGGATTCTGATGGCATGAAAGTTCATTGGCCCAGAGGAAGGGTTTGGACTTGGGGCCTCAGTCCTCAGGACTTCAAGTTTAGAACAGTGTTTTCCCTGGGGGTGATCAAGACGGCATATATATTTGTGGCTAGGATCTGTTGATGGCGAGTCACACATTTTATGTAACTTCCATTATAAATACATTTCTTTGCATAAGTAGACTTAAATAAATTTTTAAATAGGAGTCTGGATCATGTAGAGATATGGTGAAAATAATGAAGAGGGCCTGGCAAAGAATATTGGGGCAACACCGAGGGAGATGATCTGAGAGACTCCCTAGTTTCCTAGTCCATCCAGGGGGGAGGCGACCTCCACCTGCCTAGCCAGCCTCCCGGCCAAAGGAGCTCAGGCAATACAGAGGAAAAAGGGCCTGTGCCATACACATGGAAGGGGTTATCATTCACAGATTCAGGACTGAAACACAAAAGCTTGGTGAATTTGCCCAAAGAAGCTGGTCAGCTAGGGACAGATCACCAGACTGCAGTGGGGGCTCTCACCAAACCAGGACAGGGCAGCAGCCATGCAGCTCTAACACAGAGCCAGCCAGGGGCTGGTGTAAACCACTCCCAGAGAGACGAAGGTTTGATGGGCAGAAAATGTTTAGGACGAAACTGAGTCCCAGAAGATTTGGGGGTGGGAAATGGTGAGGACTGATGCAGAGGCAAGGGTGGGGGTGAGACCACCTTTTAGGGCGTTTTTCAGAAGGGATTCCCATGGTTTTCACTGGGATCTGCTTATTAAGGGCTTTGCATCTGATGGTGGATAGTGCTCTCTCTGTCTTTCTCTCTCTCTCTCTCTCTCTCTCTCTCTCTCTCTCTCTATCTCTGTGTGTGTCTAGGGATGAGACTAAGAGAAGTGACGTTAGATCACTTTCCATTCAAACAAATCAGGACCAATCAGACTTCTCCAGCTGACCCCTGAGAGCACGTAGGTATGATCTGGTCCCTGTCCTGAGGAACAATAGAAGGCACTGAGACTGGGAGCCCAGAGAGGAACTCAGCAGCCTCCAGCCTATTCATTCCTGGGTCCCCGGAGCTGGCTCCACTCCTTCGTTCCCCACACCACATGCTGCCTTTTCTCCCTCTTCCATCTGAGGCAAGAGAAGCCCTGGGACCCAAGAAGGTCCCACGCTCTGGGTGAAGAGAGCAGCTTGGCCTCTGGCTCTTCCTCTGTGGGTGACGTCATCCCCTTGGGGTTGGTGGGAAAGGCTATCCTGCTGGCTCCCCTCGTGGTCAAGACCCAGCAGATGCTCCTGCTCCCACTGCCCTGGCCTCCCTGTTTCCCACACTCACTTCCTCCTTCTGTTCTCATCCCTCTCACAGCTGCCTTCTTGACGGTCAGTGCTGCACCCCGCCTGTGGCCCGGCTCACTGAGGTCAGCACGAGAGTGGGCAGGAGGATGCTGAGGCTTCCCTCCACCCCCACCCCCATCCCCCCGTGGGGCAGGGCTGGGAGGGGAAGGGACAGGACAAGAGATTTGTTTCCACTTAATGAGACCAGATATGATGGATGGAATCCTCCCATTACCTTGTGTTGGGTTTCACTGAGGAAGAAGTGTTCTGCAAGTACAGGAAGTCTTAACACCCATTGTTCCTCTGATGCTTTATGTGTGTCATGCAGAGATACCCATGACCTCATTGAATTTGCACAATAGCTGTACAAGGCAGGAATTTCTTCCCATTTAAAAAAAATATTTATTTTTCGTTATAACAATATCTTTATTTTTTATTTCCATGCAGTGCTGAGGATCGAACCCTGTGCCATGCATGGTAGGCAGGCGCTCTACCTCTGAGCCACAACCCCAGCCCTTCCATTTTAAAGATGGAGAAACTGAAAACAGAATTTTAATAACCTGCCCAAACGACACAGCTACTATGTGTCAGAACCAGGATTTGAACCCCGTTCCTTTGGTCTCCAGAACCCAAGATCTTAACTAATAGAGAATATTATTTTCCATACAGGCACAATTGCAGCCCTTGTTTACTTAAATGGGGCCTCTGTTTTTATGGGCAGCCCTGAATTCACGCATACCCACATACCCACACATTCGTTCTCACTGGAAAACTGCACAAAATGTCAGCATTATTTCTTATGGATTTTTCCACCCTGGAAGAGACTGAATGGGGTCATTTCATTCCTCCCACTGCCTCTGACCTGGACTGTGTTTTGCCTTCTGGAAGGAAGCCTGCCAGCTCAGACTCCTTGCCGCTTGGTGAAATGAAACCTTGGGCAACGGCTCTCTCTCCCTGAGCGGCAGTTGACTGTCTGAAGGATGCAAGCAGTTTGGAGGGTGATCTGGGGAAGCCAGTGGTACTCAACATACGGTTTGTGAGTATGCAGCAAGTGCCAGGAGCCAGCTAGGTTCCAGGGTCACATAACGATGTGTAGGTCTTAGTCTTCCCTCAAGCAATAGATGCTCAATAACTATTTCATGAGCAACTGAGGATTTAAACTTATGGAGGACATAGGATCAGTGCTTCAGTAGCAGGTCTTGAGGTAAGAGCTTCTTAAGGTCACAAAGAGGCACTCACAGGAGCCTGCTGCGTATTCTTAAGGGGCAGGGATTTGCCTGAGTTTGAAAATCCTGCTGTGGGTCTTGACAGCAGGACCAAATTGGATTTGAGTCTTTGGGCCATGATAAGCCACCAAGTCAGTGATGGGAGGTCAGGAAGACCTGGCCAGGTCCTGGTCCTCTGGTGGCTGGGAGGCCTTCTCCAAGGCTTCTGCAGATTTCCAGGGCATAGAAGGGAAGCTTTGAACCATCTGGGGACTTCAAATAGTGCATGATTAAGTTGGACAGGAGCAGGGTGGTTGAAAGGAGAAGCTAAAAATGACTGAGGTTCCAGGCAGGGGTGACAGGAACATGGGTTAGAGAGTGGGGAGGGGTAGGGAAGTCAGAGGGAGAAGCAGTTGCCAGGAAAGAACCATGCTTAGTTTGGGGCTTAGCGCCTCCTCCTGCTGTACTCTGGTTCTTCCCAGATGCAGCTGAGTGCCTCTGAAAGGAAGGTAGAAGCAAAGAGGTCAGGGCAAGGTCCACTAATAGCAAGCACACACCATGGGCTCTGTGTCTCTGGCTGCTGCTGTCTAAATGGCATGTCCTCGCCCAAGCAAATCCCTGGGGGCCCTGGGTCCTCAAACCACTGTTTCTAGCCCTGTTTTAGGAAGGTACACAAAGTGTGGGCAATTCCCACACCCCAGCGAAACTCTCCTTGACCTCTGAGGAAGCCAGTCCTCCACTATCCCTTAGTTCTGGATCCTCCCTCCCCAGCAAGGCCAGGTTGGCAGGAACAGCTTCTACCCAGAAGCCTCAGGTCAGCTGCCAGCCCAGCCCAGCCCTGCAGAGCCTCTCTGCCTGCCCTTCCACCCCCACCCCCACCCCCTGGGCTTAGCTCTGAGCATTAAGACAAGACTGGAAGGTAAGATGATCCCTGGGTCTCTGGGGGGCTTCAGAAACAGATGGTCAACGTACTAGAGGCCTGATGTTTGTAACTTGATCAGGATCTGGGGCGGGAGCTGGCAGGACCCAGGCAGCTTGGGCCCAGGGGCTGGGAATCTTGTGAATGTTATCAGCTGGAGCCTCTCCCCCACAACCTTCAAATGCAGCCCTTACCCAAGGCAATCTCTCAGCCTGTCCGGATGGTACCTGGGACTCCAGCCTAAGAATCCACAGAAGAGCTGGAAGAACTAACTCAGGATCCCCATTCTGGCTTGGCCAGGGCAGCGGAGCCTATTGGGCTGAGAAGGCAGGAAGAGCACTTGAGCCAAGTCTGAGGGCAGCTGAAATAGGACAGGTGTTTGGGAGGGAGAGCTGGGCCAGGGTTCCCAGCAAACAGGAATCTCCTGGCCTCTTAACCTCTCTCCTGACCAGTTGGATGTAAAGAGCAATTCAAGAAACCTGGGTCTACCCCTTATCTTAATGTCCCTTATCAATTCCTCTCCATAGCCCTATAGAGGACAGAGCAGCCTTAAAGCCCAGCTCCACTGCCCATCCATCTGCAGGGGTTTAGTAGTCAAGACTACAGCATTTGGGGTGAGACAGTTCTGGGTTTGAGTCCCAGCTCTGTGAGCTGTGTGCACTACAGTTTATTCATTCACTAAAGCAAGATCAGTAAGAGCAACCTCACAGGGTTCATGTAAGTAAGATTAAATGAGATGATGCCATTTCAATTACACAGTAAATGCCCACAAGTTGATATTGTGACCATCAGCACCCAGGAAGAAGAGGACACAAGCACAAAAGAGGACAAGGATGGCTCCCACAACTTTGTGCACCCTTAAAGTGATCTTAGCTCTATCTCTCACTATCTAATCTTGGGCACGTTACTTATGTGCCTCGGTTTCCTCACCTGTCAGAGGGGAACAATAATGGTCACTACCTCACAGGGTAGCTGGAGAGATTAAATAAATTAATTTATATATATATGTGTGTGTGTGTGTGTGTGTGTGTGTGTGTGTGTGAGATATAAGGTTGGGGGCACACCCATATCTATTCATATGCATAAGCACACACATACAGATGGCCCTTGGTTTAACAATTTTTGAACTTAACCATAGTGTGAAAGGGTGCCCATAAAATCATTTTCTTTGTCACTTATGTGTTTAGCACATTACATGATATTCAGTACTTTATTATAAAATAGGCTTTGTGTTAGATGGTTTTTCCCAACTGTGGGCCGATGTAAGTGTTCTAAATACGTTTAAGGTAGGCAAGGCTAAGCTGTGATGTTTGGTAGGTTAGGTGTCTTAATGCATTTCAAGTTACAATGGGTCATCTGGTCACAACCCCATCATAAGCAGAGGAGTATCTGTATAGCTTTTAGGACAACTGCATCCCTTAGTTATTTCATTGCCATGTATCTCAGTTCCCTTATCTAGCCTTAGCACTGTTAAAAGTCCTCCTCTTTCAGCACAGCGTGGCACTGTTCTAGGCTGTAGAGGTGGGGTCAGTGGCAGGCTGGGATGATCCTGGAGAGTGTGTTTGGCGGGTGGCTGGTTCAGGGCCGTGCCGGGCAGTCCTCCCTGCTTCTCCCATGCTCACTGGCCCCGTGCTTTCCCTCTCCCCTGCAGATGTCCATGAAGGAGGTGGGTGATGGCTTACAGGATCAGATGAACTGCATGATGGGTGCTCTGCAAGAACTGAAACTCCTGCAGGTGCAGACAGCATTGGAACAGTTGGAGATCTCTGGAGGGGATCCTGTCCCAGGCTTCCCAGAAAGCCCCCCGCCCCAGTCCAAGCACCTTCACTGGGAGGGTGGCAGGGGTCCTCCCAGACCTGGATCCTGCTCCCCATCCAGCCAACCTTCTCCCGGCAGCAGCACCAAATTTCCATACCATAGGAGTATCTGCGTTAGGGATCTCGCCCCCTTGCCCAGGACTCAGCTGCCCAAGCACCAAAGCTGTGCCCAGCAGGGGCCAGAGCAAGTGGAACCAGATGACTGGACCTCCACACTGATGTCGCGGGGCAGAAATCGGCAGCCTCTGGTGTTAGGGGACAATGTGTTTGCAGACCTGGTGGGCAACTGGCTCGACCTGCCGGAACTGGAGAAGGTCGGGGAGAAGGATGAGCCGGAGAGGGAAGAAGAGCACAAAGGAGACAAAGGCCGGCCTCGGGAGCTGGGCCACAAATTTGCCCTCACCGCAAACATCTTTAGGAAGTTTTTGCGCAGTGTGAGGCCCGATCGTGACCGGCTGCTGAAGGAGAAGCCAGGCTGGGTGACACCCATGGTCTCCGAGTCGAGAGCAGGACGTTCTCAGAAGGTCAAGAAGCGGAGCCACTCCAAGAGCTCTGGACGTTTCTTCTTCCCGAGTACAGGGGAGTCCAGACAAGGGGAGACTCCCCCGACCAGTAGCCCCAAGGCCACGGATCCCTCTCCCACGGGCTTTGATATTAACACGGCTGTTTGGGTCTGAACAGCAGAGACCAAAAATTGGCTGAACCTAAAAGGTTGGGCCCCTAGGGAGGAGGGCGGGAGGGTGGTAAGGCCTTCAGAAGCCCAAATCCAAGTTCCTTTCCCCCAGAAAGGAGGGGAGAAGCCAGAGTTCTCAGGCAGAGCCGACCAGAATGCGGCTGGGAGAGGCTGTCCCAGGGCTGGCTGGTGGAGGAGGTGAGTTCCTGGAGAGAATGTGGGTGTGTGTGTGTGTGGGGTCAGTTCAGGGGTTGGAGATGACAGTTGGGGAGGAGCAGGGGAGGAGACCAGAATGTCCCTCTGATATTCCTCCACTGCCCTCAAAGACCTCAGTGGAACATTTTGCATGGAAAAGCTCACTGGGGCCGCAGGTGCCACAGAGACCCCCAATAAAGACCTGTCTTTGGTGCCCCCAACTTTACATCTGTCTGCTCCCCCGGCTTGGCATTGCCGGAGGCAGAGATTGGGGGTCAGAGAAGAGGAAGGCAAATCCCCAGGCTAGCATTCCTGTTCCATGGACTTCAGCCCATACCTGCATCCGGGTATATGGGCTGAAGGAGGGCGGTGGATGAGGTGTGCCTTCCCTTAAGCCCAGGGAAGCAATGAGGGGACATGCCACTGTGGACTGGACGCCCTTGGACATCAAGCTCTCTAGTCCCTGGTGCTCACAGGCAGGCAGGCATTTTCCAGTGGAGAAGGCAGCCCACACGGGGGCTACCTCCCGTTCCAGAACACGGTTGGGAGGTGAGCAGCCGGGCCACCGTGAGCTGGATTCACACACTGGCCCCTAACAGCGGTCTGTCGCCCACACCAACAGCCAGCCTCCTGCGTTTGACTCTTGGGGCAGAAGAGGTAAATTCACCAGAGAAGCGAGGGCGAGCCCTGGAGAAATTTCCCCTCATTTAAAAAATTCTTAGTCCCACCTGAGGCCCCTTAGCTTCGGGCCCACCAGGGCCCTGGGTCTCCCTGCTCACACCCCAGAGTGAAGTTAACTGGAGAGTGAGGGTTCCAGACCGCGGTGCAGGGCTTTCTGAAAGCTGCTGAGGTTAAGTGGCCCTCCCACCCGGGCAGGAACTCCTGCTGGCCGCAGAGGACAACGTGGGTCCCTGTCTGGGCCGTGAGTCCCTCTCTGGGCTGAGCACACCCAGGAGGGAGAGCCCTCGTTCCCCTCTCCCTCTCCCCAAGGACCCACAGCTCAGCCTGATGGGGTGTGACAGCTGCAATTAGAGGCAAGACGCATTCCCGCCCTCAGAGCATTAAGAGTAAATTGGAGAAGAAAAATAACAAGAAAGGCTCTACTGCCAGCAGCCTGGAGCCCCAGGGGGCGGAGATGGAGGGAGGGGCAGGGGCTCTGCAGTCGTGATTAAGGTCACCCTCAAGTGCCATTCAAATGGTAGATGGTTAGTTTTGGTGGGGTGAGCCATACGAGGACAGAGAGGCACTTGTTTTGAGCCGGCCTGTTTACCAGGCAGTGTGCACATCTCTTTCAAGCTTTGAGTCACCCTAGAAAGAATGATCTTCCAGGTACAGCAATGAGGCTCCTAGTGAGATCATGCAAACTGCCCCGATCAGGCTGCTAGCAAAGGAAATGAACCAGAAATTGAACCAGAGGGTTATTTGGCTCCCAAACCCCTGTTCTTTCCGCTCTACACCTTCGTCTGCAGTTTGCCAACAGAGCTCCCACTTTCTGGGGGGCAGAGCCCACGCATCCTGTTGTCTCCCCAATAAAATCTGACGTTTCTCTGTGAAGGGAGGTTGGCTGTGGCTGCCTTTGGTACTGGTGGTTGATGTGTGCGTGGGGACAATGTGCACTGATTTGCTGATTCCTGAAAGGAGGGCCACCCAGCAAATTATTCAGGATGACACCAGCTCTGAGTCTGGTCTGATTCCATAGGAAACCAAGCCACCTCTTGGCTCTTCACCTGTGACTCTTCTGTTTTCATGGGCTAGTCATAGTAGTTGAGATCAACTGAGCAAAACTTGATGAATTCTACCCAGTGCCAGCTAGGAACCCAGAACAGCACGATGAAAAGGGCCCAGTGCTGACCTCCAGGGGATCCAGTGGAAAAGGAAGAGGCCAACTCCACCATCAATGAGCAGAATAGATTCAAAGGACTGAAGACTCATTTTAACTTGGGCCAGAACAAAGCAACTAGGAAGTGACATCTGCTCCCAACATAATCCACAGGTGCCAGGCACCCTGGCCTTTGTGCTATTTCCTTTTCACTACGTGCTGGATAGGAGTGCTGTTACTCTTATTTTACACGGATAGGCTCAGAGAAGTTAAACAACTCGTCAAGATCACACAGCAGAAAAGCAGAGCTGGGATTCTAACAGTTCCCATTTACTTCCAATCTTGTGCCTTTTACCTTACCCCCCAAACTGTTCCAGAGGTAAATCAAGAACAAAACCTGTCCTCCCCACATGTAATGAATGGCCTGCCAACTGTGCGGTGGAGGAATTCTGCCTGGGTCTTGATGTCATGCCCCACCCACTTTCATGCTTTGCTAATCAAAGATTATGGTGATTCATTAACCCACCTATAATTTTTACTTTTCTGTCACCTTCTGGGCTCCTGCTGCGACAATGATGAGAGTTGTTTTGCTGAGGCCAAGTGAAGAAATGAATGGGACTAATCCTAGGGCCTAAGCGATGCTGGGCATCATAGGGACCCTGGACGGGGTGGACGGAGCGGAGATGGTGAAAGCCAGCAGAGAGAAACTGACAGCTTGATTCTGCCTCTGGGGCTCATTTTGTGGTTAATTAGGACATGCAAATGAACTGGAAGCTCATTTAATACCCTCCCTGGCACACAGCCCCACCCCACACCTGGCCCACTTCCCTGGCAGGTACAGGGGCTCCACTGGCCCAGGCATCTGCTCAGGGCTCCACCTGCTTCATGTGACCCCGTGGCCAGAACCTGTCCATGTTTTCTAACCTTAGTGGAACGAAAAGGTCCTTGCTGGGACTGGTGGGACCTGCTCCTTCTAATCTTTCTCTCCCTGAGGCACTTCCTCTGAACCTCTCCCCTCAGGGTGATCTCTGAACCCAAACTAAGGGACACCTGGTTCACTTATGCCCCGTAGGTAGTGAGCCGTCTATCCTCACCACACCCAGCTACTCCCCAGAGGCTTGGGGAAGGGGCTCCTTGTCTTTTCCAAGCCACGCCAGCGTTTCCTGCAGGGCCCAAGGAAAAAGCAAGACCGTAGTCTGTCTCCAGCTTCTCCAAAGCCGCTGTCAATCTGCCTTAGGTGACCTCCCCACCCAGGCATTTAAGGCACCTGTACCAGCACCATGGTATGAGCCCTGGATTTGGAGTCAGAGAGATCCGTTTCTGTCACTGTGCACTTGAACACGTTGCTTGACTTCTCTGAGCCTGGTTTTCCTTATCGGTGGAACAGGGGGAAGGCAGGACTGCGGTGGGGTTTAGAGGACACGATGCACCTAGGGGTCACACTCACTGCTTGGAACACCGAAACTCCACCAGTACTGCACTGCCCATTCCCTAGGGCAGCACTGAGCATGTGACCGACCCAAGGCGACATCAAAATAAAGAGTTTTCTCTGAGCCTTGGTCTCTGTTAAAAAAATGTCTACCGACTCTCATGGCCTCACGGGATTGTGGCAAGGACTGGAGAAGGCCCAGGTGCGGACACGTTTTCGTACACGGTAGAAATATCACCCAGGTGGGCTATGACTCGCTAGTGGCACATGGGTACTGTCCTGGGGAGGAATGGTGTATGGGGCGCTGGGGTGCAGCAGCCAAGTCGGGGAGAAGGTGTTGGAGGACACGGCTGCCTGAGGCTTGACTTACCTATGGACACCGAACCGCCCCTGTAGCCTGCTGTCCCTCATTGTCAACCTGGGACCTCAGTTGGCAGGGGGAGAGCACAATGAGTCAAGTTCTAATGGTTTCCAGGAGAGTCCAGCCCCCAGTCTGCTCTCTGCTCCCCAGGCCGCAGGTGCTGTGGCTGCGCTCCTGAGTCCTCTTCCCTCCTCTGTGAAGCCTGCCCCTCAGGAGAGGCTTGAGGCTCTGATGTGCTGGAAAGGCCTGGGCCACGACCCCACACTGCAGTCATCCCCCTAGGACTCCTGATAGGGTGTCTCCTGCCTTACTCTCCCGCTCTGTGCGACCCTTAGAGGGGGAGGCAACCTCTCTCCCAGATTCCCTGATTTTGACAGGACTGACTTCCTGCCATTCCCCAGAGACTCTCCCTCCCATCAGTCCTGACAGGTTCCTCCACTCACCACATCCAAGCCCCCCCCCCCATATAGACCCACAACTTCAGGAACACGTGGGTGTGGCCAGCCTCACAGTGCAGGCAGCCTTCCCTATGTCCCCACAACAGACTTAAATCCGTGTCCCCTACTGGAGTTCCTCTTTCTTCCCTGAACTCTCCCAATGCTGCTCAGAGCACTCCTGTGTTCCTGGGGCCCCTGAGGACCATGCCTCTGAACAGAGTTAGGGCAATAATAACCCGATGACGGGTTATTACAATGACAATCACTTTATGCTTTCCTCTCCCTGCATCTCGCTCAGGCCTGGGTATATATAGGTCACAGGATCACTAACTGGATGAGGTTCTGGGTCCAATCCCTGGCTGCCACTGCACGGAAGACATCTAGCCTCACTACACCCTTCTGGCAATGTCCCTCGAGACCCTGGCCCCTGTCCAGGGATGTGGAAACCAATGCCAAATACCATCTTCCACGGGCTGCCACCTCTGCTCTCGTGGGGTCCCAACCTGCTGCTTCCTGCTCTGAGTCCACCCCAATCCAAGACTTCCCTGCAAACCAGGGAAGCTGTCCTCATCCTCTGCCTTGCTCTCCCTCTGACCCACGGGCCCCTTCCTCACCTCCCCAACAGGAGGCTATGGCCTGCAGCTGCCAGGAAGTGCTGCTCAGGGTCCAAAAGGATGCAGAGTGCAGGATCTGACTCCATCCTCTCTTGCACTCTGCCCCGGGGTTAGAGGCCAGCCCTGCCCAGTGAGCCCCCAGCCTACCTACTCAGCCTTGTTTCCAGACACTCCTCATGGCCCATGCCAAGAAGGGTTGCTTTGAGTGCTCCGAGTTTGGATTTTCTCATGTCACTATGTCTTTGCATGCTGTCTCCTGAGGAATCCAATTGCCCCACAATCTCAGGCTGACTTTTATTTGTCTTTCACCACATAGTTTGAAGGCCACTGGTGAAACCCTCCTCACAGGCCTAAACTGTGCCTCTGACCAAACCATAGTATTTACTTTGTAAGTCACTTCTGTTTGCTGCTTCTCCTTGCTGGGCTGGGAGCAACTGCTCGTTCCTCATTTCTGCATCTTTAGCACTGTGCACAGGGCTCCCAAGGTGATCTCGACTCCCAGAGCAAGACGCAGGTTGGGCTGGCTCTGGCTTCTGCTTCAGGAAGGCCAGCAGGCAAGGCTCCGTAGCTGCCTCCCAAGGCCTCTTTTCATTCTACTCCACAGCCCATTCCCCAGGAGAGGGCAGGCTGGGACATGGTGACCTCCGGGAACTTTGGTCCCCAGCCTCCCTCTCCAAGCTGTTGTGCACTTCCCTGTTCCCTGGCCTGCTCATCTGGTTTCTCAGGCCAATTCTATTTTAATGCAGGCTATCTGGGGAGCCTCAGTCCCACTTACTCCCTATCTGCTGTCACTGGGCTGCCCTGAGCTGGGGTCCTTCAGAGCTATGCCTGCTCAGTCCCAAATGGATCCAACTGCCATCCCAGAGGTTACCTGTCTTCCAGTGTTTCCCCTCTTGGGCTGACCCCTTTCCACTGGCCTTCCTGACCTGATCTTTCTCATTTCTTCTGCCAGTGTCTGGTCCCAGACTTACCCTGCCCTGAGACCTTTTCTGACTTGCTAGGCTAGGGCCCCACCCTACCAGGGACATTGAGTCTACTAGATTCTCCTCCCCTCATTGTGACTGTTGAGGGACAGGCAGGGCAACAGGGAAGGAAGTTGAGAGTTGGGTGTTGGTGCCTTCCACACCTCCAGTCCCACTTCTGGCCACACTCCAGACATTGTCTCCCAACCAGGAGCTGTGCTGCCAGCAAGGCAGCATGTGTACAGCCATTTGTGTAGAAATGGTGGGAAAGGGGAGGACATTAGGCAGATTTTTTTTTTTTCAAGTAACAGTTTATTCCAAGTGGGTAGGTACAGCAACTGAATCCCCTGCATTAACTCAGCTCCCTGAGCAGAGCAGTCAAGGCTAGTGTCATCCCAGACCACCTCAATGAACCACTCAACTTCCTTACCCACCACTGGCCAGTGAGCTTGCTCATTATGGAGAGCTCGGGGCCAGACTGGTGTCTGGTGTTGGTGTTGGATCTCTGGGCTAAGGTTCTAAGCTTCTGTTAAGATAAATCATTTATGGGGGCTGAGACTGTGGCTCAGTGGTAGAGCTCTTGCCTATCATGTGTGAAGCACTGGGTTTGAGCTTCAGCACCACATAAAGATAAATAAATAAAGGTACTGTCCATCTACAACTAAAAAATATTTTAAAAAAATAAATCATTCATATACCAGAAAATAAGGGTTTAGCTTTGCATCAGTGTTTCCAAGGGCCTGAAGGACCCCAAAGCTTCTGGCATAGGCTTCAGGACCCTGGTGGGAGTGAAGGGATCCAATATCATCCTTAAACTTCTCCATTAAATGCATCCCCTGCCCATGGAAGACAGGCAGGGGCTAGGCTCTGGTCCCACTATTCTAGTTCCTACTTTTCAAACTGGGAAGACTACATGCTTTGCATTCCCTTAATCCTGGTGGCTCCTTCAAATTCCCAACCCACCAAAGTGGAGAAAGACCTCAGTGATGCCTACGGCTAGAATGACAGGGGGCTACATGAATATGGCCTGTGCCCTTTCTCTCACCCCCAGGGGACGGCCTGATGGGATCTGGTGGGAAAGTTTGCACCTACCCAACAGGGGTGGATTAAGGAAAAGAGCTCTCTTACTAAGTGTATGTGTGTGTACACACACACACACACACACACACATTACAATTTTTTAAAAGATTTTGTCTGTATGGTTGGCCCATTGTAGCCCAAGCATAGACTGCACATGGTATACAGTAGAAGCACAATAAATGTTTGCTGATAGGCCTGTAAGTCATGCCCTGTTTTGCTGTGTGGGCCCTATGACATTTAGCACAAAATTTGGAAAGGGTTGAGCTTAAAAAAAATTCTTTGAAAACAACAGTTCAAAAGAGTCACAGCACTGTTTAAAATGGAAAGGTTTATTAAGGATTTTCCTCAAGAGGAACAGCCAGTCTCTTGCTTCTTAAGAGAAGCAATTAGTGGGAAATGTACATCACAACTTGGGCCCAGAACCACAGGAGGCCACTTCTTAACAAGCCCAAAGAATATGCTCCCCATCAATTCCCTTTTAAAGCTATTTATTTCAAAAAGCAAAATCCATGTTCCCTTCCTAGAAAACAGAACTAGGCACCCAGTCCAAAGCCTCCCACTGCTCTCAATTAGAATATTTAAGCAGGACAAGGCAATAAATGGACTACACATTCAACTAACCCAAGATAAAACTGCAGTAAGAAAAACCCATGATCAATGTAATATCTGTACTACATTTTCAGAAGTAAGTTTCAATTTTGACTTTTTTCTTTTGCAGTACAGGGGATGGATCCAGGGTCTCACCATTCTGGGCAAATATTCTACCATCAAGTCACATCCCAGCTCTTTCAATTTTTTGTTTTGAGACACTGTCTTAATAAGGTGCTGAGGCTGGCCTCAAACTTGAGATCCTCCTGTTTCAGCCTCCTGAGTAGCTGGAATTACAGGACAATGCTACCAAGCCCAGCTTTAATATTCATACTTCTAGAGATTACACATGCTAATAGCTATGTGGTTTAGGCGGCCTCAAGGCTCACAATCATTTCTCTCACTGTAAGATGGGCTCTTTCCATATTTTGAAAAAAGCACCCAAACCACTCTACCCTTTTAAATTTGGAGCTAATTCAGGTGGAGCTATTTAACACATATTAAAACCTAAATAAGTATAAGACCCAAAGAGAAGGTTGTTTTATAAATTATTTTCCTCCTCCACATTACCTGACAATTTCTCTGCACTTTGGTTTCAAAAGACATGATTTATAAGAGCTTCTAACAGCTTATTAGGATTGCTTAGAAAGGAAAATACCATGGTATTCCTTAATTCTTTCTGTCCCTTAGTCCCTAAAACTCAGGCATATGCTCGCTCACTCGCTTTCTCTCTCTCACCCCCCCAAACCACACCCCTGTGAGGAGAAAGACGCAAAATATCTTAAATTAGCTAGGTACAAAATGCAGAATGTTTTTATTATTATTCATATGTAAAGAATAACTACACACCAAGTCACCTGTTTTAATAAATTCTGTAATAAAATAAAGATATTTCCCCTAAATATTAAGTTTTCCAAGTACATTAACTTCAAAGAATTGACTGTTTCACTGAGGAGTGAAAGATGGCCATTGGTGGTGGCAGATCAAGGTACCAAACAGATATGAGTTCAGAGTTGAGGAAGAAGCGGGCAACACATCAACACCTGCATTTCTCTATTCTGTTTTTTTTTTTTTTAATGGTGCTAGGGATTGAACCAAGGGCTTTATGCTCATGAGGGAAGCACTCTACCAACTGAGCTATATCCCCAGCCCTGCATTTCTCCATTCTTGAGAGGGGACTCAAGTTCAGTAAGTTATTGTTATCCATATCTTGGATGAATTTGATTTGTGTATCTTTCCTGCCCAACTAGATTGTAAACTCTTGAGGGAGCCTAGATGACTCTGGGAGGAATGCAGTGTGTGTAAAAGAGATGGCTTGAATACTTGCAAGGCTTGTAGCAGTGTTACCAATACTGAAACTCCCCCTGGTGGAGGGAAAGATTATAGTTAGATTATGTATTCACTTAATTTCTAAACCTAGACTGGGAGCACTAATAAGCCATTAAAGTGGTTTGTTTTTAGTTGGAAAAAGAAAACTATTAAATGTGGCATCAAATCTTCTTTAAATTATATGTTACTCATATAACCAAAGCTATTATACTTTAAATAGCCTCAAATACTAATATGGGTTCTTTCAGTTCCTAGATATTTATCACAGGAGACTTGTGTAATATCCTAGTCTATTGATTTTTCAGCTACAAAAATATATCTTTCCACTGGAACCAAGACTAAGAAGTTCACATAGGGACAATACAAAAACACACCCTTCTCATTTTCTCCCAGGATGCCTTTCTGGCTTGCTGGGCAACCACAGATTTTCTTGAGATTAACACTGCTCGTCTCTCGATTTCAGTTGGTCTTGCTCTGCTCACCAGTGTGCTAAAAAAGCACCTTTTCTTGGTAGTTCCACCTTTAAACCAAGTAGACTGTGTAAGATGTGACAGAGAATCCAACAACAATCATCTTTCTCCACTATTATTCTAAAGGAGAGGACAGTGAGTTTATGCTACTTGTCAAGCCGACTGAAAGTTAAGTCTTATTTAATAATTTGTATTTAATGTAACAAATAATTAAACAACCTATGTAACATAGAAAGTTCTCGGGTTTGCATGTTTTTCTATGAAAAGTTTGAGAGGTGTTTAAAGTAGAACTTAAGAGGACTTAAATTAAGAGTATGTCTCTAAGTTGGGAACACGCTCATCTGTGGTCCCAGCTATTTGGGAGGCTGAGGTGGTAGAATCATTTGAGTCCAGGAGTTTGAAGCCAGTATGGGCAACATAGTGAAACCACATTTCAAAAACAAAAAACAAAAACAAAGCAAACCTCACTGACCTGAACAAATTGGCCCTAATGTTTCACTGATTTTTAAAATTTATTATATATATTTTTTGCCCCTCAATCTCAATCATGGACATATGCATATTGGATCAGAAGAGGGAAGTGTTATTAGGCAACTAAGTTTATTAGAAACTCAAAAAAAATACAATTTCCAATTTTTAAAAACAATATTTTTAACATTTTCTCAGGCTGGAAAGAACTTACATTTGAAAGCTGACTTTTAAATGTCAATTCAGTAACTAATGGGCTGACCACACTCCTGGAAAAAAAAAAATCACAGCAAGGCATGAACACTGTTTCACACCTAGTTGCAATGAGACAGTATCTAAATCCCTGAGCAATGATTTAGACTTTCTAGGACTGATCTCCTCCTTGATATTCAGGGACAAGGCACAGGCTTCCTAAGCTTGTTTCTTTCCTTCTCCAGTACTTCACTGGCTAACAAGCTGTTGGCTCTCTTTCTTTATGGAGAACACATAAGCAACATCATCCTGGGTCCATGCCCTACTTAAGCCCCATCTTTTCTAAAAATGGAAATAATTGGGAAGGAAAAGAAAAGCACCACTATATAGCCAGCTAAAATTTTAACTTAGTAATCTTTTTCATATTACTACTACTATACTACTTCATATAGTCAAAGCAAAAGTAATTAACACATTCTTTTTATGTGTTTTAACTTTCACTTACTTCTCTCAAAATCTTTAATCTATTATAAAGCAAGTTTGAAAGCTTTTACATAACACTTCATTGGTGGACCCACACCCAACAAATTAACAATGGCAAAAGGATTTCCTTAATAAAATTACAAGCTGTGGAAGATTTGAAATAGTAAAAGTTAAACCCTGATACAGTATTAAACTTATCTCTTTACATATAAAAATAATACACAGTGGGATATTTTATTCAGCAAGATACAATGTTTAAGATCAAGAGAGAATATACAAAACTATTCTATGTAGTCTGATGTATTATACTGTATAGTAGGAATAAATATTATCTGGAACAGGAAGTAGGAGGTCTGTTCCTACAGAAATCACCAGTTAGTATAGTTTAAAGCCAAGAATTCTGCAGATACCAGGCAGAAAGGAGCTACTGTCGCATTTAAAACAATGTGGTCATTATAAAATAAAGTCCTTAAATCTATAAACAATAACAAAAACACACAAACCAAATGAAAATGTACTAAAATTTAATCATCCATAAAAGCTGTAATTTAATCTGACAGTAAAACACAAGAAGCCATATTAGAGTTGGTTTAGTATATTATATATTTTAGCTTTGAAAGCTATAGAAATCAGTTATCCCAGTTTTTCCTATAAAAGACCCATTTTTTTTCCAAAGCATTATGCACAAACAATTTTAATTAGAATATAATGACAGATGATATCTCATAATTTTTTAAATATAAAATGAAGTCAATGACTCAAAAAAGTTATCTGCTGCAATGAGTTTGAGGGGAAATTTCATAATTGATTATATCTTTACAGATATAAAGTATAATGATTCAACTTTTAGTGCTTAACAGGGAGGAATCATGATAAAAAGGTCAATATGAAATCATTTGATTATAGTAGCAATATCTAACATTTGAAATGCATCCATGCTCTTTTGTATAATTGTATTAGAGTCAAGTATATTTATTTTCACATCTGTTATAACTGCTATTGCAAAGGAGAAATGCTATTGTCTTATTTTCCAAGAGATATACACAGAGCAAAATTTTTTTTTTCTCCAGGGAACTTGTGCAAACCAACATAAGATCTAAATTCTTCACATAATATATAAAACAGGAGAAGCCTCTTCAGATTTATTTTTTGAAGTCTGGAATGCTGGCACTTTCCAAGTAGGCAACAGTTCTTCATTCCTGTAATCTAGAATATTAAACACATACACATATATATGGTTATCTCTAGATGTCAAAATATAGTAGTAATCAAGTAGATATCCAATAACATAGAAAACCATGATCTTAGCCTGGGGATGTAGCTCAATGACAGAATACATGCCTAGCAATGCATAAGACCCTGCGTTTGATCCCCAGCGTACATGTGCATGCATGCACACAAAGATACAATGATCCTAGCTGATTATTACTAGATAACTAGTAATAATATAACAGAGCTATTTTGAATTTATTTTTAAAATGTTTTAATGCTGGTGAGTGATACTGGCCAAATTATATTGTGTGCATGTACAAATCTGTAACAAGAAATCCCCATTATGTACAACTATAATGCACCAATAAAAAATGTAGAAAGGAAAAAACGTTTTTTAAAATAATGAAATATAAAGACTAAACTCAAGAAAGGGAGTCTATAATTGATCAATTTTAGCCTTTCCTTGGTTTCATTATACTTGTTGTATCATATTGTATCCTACAGTCCTGTTCATAAAGAGGACAATAGTGACCTTTCATTTCTATCCCACTTTCATCTTATTTTTAAAATTTCCCTTTCCACTAAGAAAATGACACTTGCTTGCATGAACTTTCCATGAGAAATTTATTCTGTTAGTTTACACTTATATACATTAGGATGACCACTTCTAATAAAGGCAGGGCAAGAGATGGCATAGAAAAAACCCAAATTCAAGAGTAGAAGAATCAGAAACTATTATTGCTTACCAGAAGGAAATTACTTTAAAAGAAGAACTCCTTATGACTAATTTCTCTCAAAGGTCTTAAAAAATGGGACATATAAAAAAACATTAACATGCTTTATTATGATTCTGTCTAGAGGCTACAGACTAGATAAGCTGCCCTCAAGATTCATATACTCTGTACTAAAAATGTTCAAAATTGTTATTATTTAAATCTATCCTGTGTCTCAGTACTTTTGAGATAGGATCTTGCTATACTGCTCAGGATAACCTCTAACTCTTGGGTTCAAGCAATCCTTCTGCCTCAGCCTCCTGAGACTAGGACTCCAGTGTGCACACTACTCCTGGCTTCAGTTCTTTTAAAAGTACAGGAACAGCATGCATAATGATCACAACAAAATGCACTGCAAAGTAGTCTGACTACTAAGCCACCTATTTGGTATTATCAAACATCCATATTGTAAGATAAATTATGTACATAGTCTAAGAATTGATGTAACTAGGATGAAAACCTTATTTCTAGATCTAGGCCAAGATTTCTCTTCTCTAAGGTAAAATTTATAATACACTGTCATACTGTACATGAATGAATTTTTAAAGTTATAATATACTAAGGGATGGCATCTTTTCCTTTAAACAAACTAAAAGAACATCTTCTTAAATGGAACTTAAACTAGGATCAACCTAGGTAATGGTGTCAACTACAAAGGAGTGAAACAATGTATTTAAGAACTAAAGTCCTTATCTTTGCACCATTCCCTGAATACACACAAAAGACAGTAATCTTTTTTTTTTTTTTTT